CTTGTCCTGTTGATTCCTCTTGTCCTGGGAGTCTTTTCAATTATCCTTATCAACTTCAAAAGCTTTCCAATGCCAAGTCCGAAACGACGAAACATAGTCCAACAAGATAATTGCAGATCTGTCACTCAGCCACTGCTCCATCTAGAGCTTTTAAAAGTCTCTAATAGTATGGCAAAAGACGAGGTCAAAAGAACTGAAACCTAAGGCAGCAAACGACAACAAATGGATGACTTCATGTCATGTCTCTACGGATGCCATTTCTAAATATTTTATGTACGCTTCCTTTTACATTCTCCCTACCAGGGGAACGCAAAGTAATCGGAGTGTGGAAGCATGGCATGTTCTTACTAATCACGTATAACAAGTATATTTTACCATAACACTTTGGTAACGTTAAAATGATAGAAATATTCAATTACACTGAAATGATAAATATCCCATTCGTGTAAGAATAATGATGAAAAGTGCAATATAACTTTCTATGTTAATCTAATCTGTTTTCATTTACGTTCGTTGAAGCGTTAAGGTGTGGAACCAGAAGATGTTTATTCCGACTGCTTTTGTCTACCATGACTGACACAGTCAAGATAGGCATAGGTGGAGTAGCTGTGCTCCTCAGACCTGCATAAAATCGTTCGCTGTGAACAAAACTTCCAATACCTCTTGACGGAGCAATTTGTGGGAACGGATGTTCAACGGAGGACCAGGTGAAGGGTTGGTCTGGACGAAACAGTAAATGATGCCATATTCTGTTTTGGAATTTATGGCAAGGGATTACCCATTTGAATGTTTAGTGGTCCTCAATTATTAAATAGCTACCTGGATACAGCTTGGGTAAATAGTTTGGTAGCAAAAACAACGAAGAAAATATGTAACTATTAACCAAAACACAAAGATGACAATTACTGGATTCAGATCAACAGTTTCAAGGAATTTATGCTTAAAGCGAACATATCTGTGTCGATTTCACATTGAAAGTAAAGAATTGTCCCTGATTATCTGGCAACGCACTTTGGGAAAGGGAGTGTGACATTTACCGACACAGTCGTGTGTTATGCCATTGTTCACCGTTAACAATACAAAACCTTGGAACCACCAATACATCATACATGAATTGCTATTTATTGCGCATTTCGAAATAAAATCATATAAATGTAATGGTCAGTCATGTCAACACAACGTTTGGTTGCCTTGGTGATTTATGCTATTTGCTTCCTTTTATTAAAACCATTTCCCCGACACTTCGTTGTGTTCACATAGTAAGTGCGTGAGTTGGCCTTTACGCCGCTTTTAGCAATATTCCAGCAATATCACGGCGGAGACACCAGAAATTGGCTTCACACGCTGTACCCATGTGTGGGAATCGGTGTTCACATAGCCATTCATGGTTTGAAACTAAATCCCTACTAAACCCCATTGTAGGCCAGATGTCATTTTGACAGCTGGACATTTTGCTGTCAATATGCAGTATTAGTAAATCAATGTAAAATGAAAATACAATCGTTATAGTGCATGTCATAATATGTATATGCAATTATCATTTTCGCCGTGAAATGTTCATGGTCTAATGTATAGCTTTAGGGTAGAACATGACCAGTACCACATAGTTCTAAGAAGTGATAAGTGTATCATATGCATGATGGAGTCTTCGTGCCCCCACAGTAGGATTTGCCAGGGTCGGAGTTGCAGTGATACAGACAGATACGCATGTACACTACGTAAAACAATATTCGCTCCATAAATGAGGCCTGCTCTCTGGCCAACAGTAGGTACAGTATCTGACCGGAATTGGACAAACGGTTCTATACTATACAACAGTCAGAGTATGATGTGATCGATGCTAACTATGTAATACAATACAATGGTTTATTGACGGAGTTCTCCCTTTGTCCCGGGATAAAATGTCTGTTGGTTTCCAACTCCCCCTGGACGCTTATACAACAGTTATAACAATATAGACATTATGCGTTCCACAAATACAATAGATCAATGCCATAAATTCAATTTCATGAGACAAAGCGGCGCGCGTAGATGATGAGGTTCCATTAGAAATTGAATATTGGTATAATTGTCAACATCGCAAAAGCCAAAGGGTTTAATCGACGTATTGAACCTCCATGGCCAATGAATAGTTTGGCTATCAGTCCTGTTAGTTCAATCATCATCCAAAATGTTCTCACGTATGTGATGGTTCTCCAACGCCTACATGCTACCAAACAGGAAATGTAGAAATTATTTAATGAAACTCTGAGCGTCAGTGCCTCATTGCATTCAAAGGGGACGTGAGAAGATGAAGTTCCTGTATGTGTTTGTGCTGTTGGCCCTGTGTAGATCTGCAGCAGGCAGTATTAAGGGGATGAAGAGACTGTACAGCGACATGTTTGGAAACTACAGCAGAAAACTCAGACCATTGTATAACCAGAGTCAACACGTTGACGTTCACAGCAGATTCAACTTGGTGACCATAACAGAAGTAGACCAGGTCAGACAGATCCTCCACAGCAACGTGTGGATGAATCTAACATGGTGGGACGAGTTTCTCACCTGGAATCCTGAGGATTATAGCGGCATAAAGTCTATACACCCGCCACTGACTGACATTTGGAGACCGAAACTCATCGTACCAGTGTCTGTTGAGGATCGGGATGTCTTCAAAGACGAGACAGCCTCTATTACAGTTAACAGCGACGGCAGAGTAACTTGGTTTCCTGGGGCAAACTTTGTTACTGATTGCAAGTTAGATCTGACTTTATTTCCATTTGATGTTCAGACATGCCAGTTCCGATTTCTTCCCACCAGCTATAATTCTAATGAACTGAAGATGGTTTCATCGCTGATTAGCGCAAACACCCAATCATACACAGAAAATGGAGAATGGAGTATTTCAGCTTCCAGAGCATACACTACTGAAAGAACCTTCGTAGATTCCACCTTCTCTTTCCTTTACGTGGACATTGACCTTGAAAGGCGACCGATGTTCTTTGTCCTCAATGTGATACTACCTGTAGTGGTGCTTTCATTTCTCAACATATTTGTCTTCTCACTTCCGTGTGACTGTGGCGAGAAGGTTTCGTATGCCATCACGTGCCTTCTCTCTCTGACTGTATTCATGAGCATCGTGAGTGGACTACTTCCAAAATCGTCCGACAACATTCCAATGGTCACCGTGTATCTAACGTGTCTCCTTGGAATCAGCGTTCTGTCAGTGGTCGCCACCATCTTCATCGTTATGAAAGATCCTGCGAAGGTCAACAAGAAAAAAACACAGTCGCCATTGTTTGTGATACCGCGATTTTGTTTGTTACGATTTCTAGGAAGTAGACGCAAGGTTATGGACGAGGTTCAGTTGGATTGTAAAACCAATGGTTGGGCTGGCAATGGGAATCCAACTGGAAAAGTTCTGGAAGGTCAGGGTATTTCTGGTGGGTACTGTGTAACTGCTGACTCTCTGTGTATGGTTATATTCACGGTTCTTTGGATGGTTGTGTCTGTGGGATTCCTCATCCAGATAACACAATAAAGGAATCTTCTCATGACATTCTGTCAATATGGTCAAGTCTCAAACTATCTGCAACTGTTTAATTAACATTCAAGAATATCCTGGTGGATCATCATATACGAAACAAAGCTGTTGATTGTTGAAATTATTTCTCGATTTGAAAACATAACAGCAATGAAAAGTTACCATGCACACTTTGAACATTGGATATTCAGATCATACGAAGATGGTAGAACAGCATGTTCAATGCCCATGAAATGCGTCCTAATGCGGGTCAGGGGTGTATCGACGACGCCTTGTGTCTATCAAATGGGCATGGACGCCTGTGGAAGGGCTTACATTATTTTATGCAATCCACGAACTTTATCTTGCTGTTTCGGTATGGTGTAAACAGCTCTTCATTTCATCCCTCACATGCTCTATAGGGGTGCGATCCGGAACATTACCAGGCCAAGACAGTACTTAAACATTGTGCGGTTAACGAAAAGCAGTAGTAACCATATCCCAGTAAGGACAGGCATTATATGGTTTGAATGTCAAAAATGTGTCATAAAATTGAAGAAATATAATTATTACTGGTCCTACAGAGTGGATCACTCTAGTCCACACCACGTGTGAAGACACGTCGAAGTCCGTCACTACAGGAAATGTTAAATACGGACACTTCTGTAGAAACAACGTCAAACCACAAACGAGGTTGACGGTCATGATTTCGGCACAACTTTTGTCAATTATCTCAATGACGGTGCGTCAGGAAAGGTCGTATGGCGGACGACCTGGTCGTAACCCGTAACGACGTAGTTGTTTCTGACTATGTTCCGGTACATACGACGAAGTCCTAGGATGCACTGAGTAGTGGTCACTGCAGTCTGGAACCTTGGCCGGAGATGGGCAAGTGAATTGTCTGTATGGTGGAAGCATCGTAGCCGACGGTAGACGTTGCTAGGCTCAGAATTGCAGTGATACAGATAGAAACGCCCGTGCATCACTCAAACAACATTCGCTCCAAAAATGATGTTTTCTATCCGGCCAACAGTAAGTATGGTATGTGACCGGAATTGGACAGCCGGTTCAATACTCCAACAATCGGAGTATAATGTGATCGATACTAACTATGTAAATACAATACAATGGTTTATTGACAGAGTACCCCTTTGTCTTGAGATGTTTGTCCGTTCCCAACTCCCTTAGGATGGTTGTCCAATAGCAACAATAATTAAGAAATACTGTGTTTCACAATGTCCGATAGATTAATCCAATTTCATGAGAAACAGGATTGTGCGTGAATGATGCAGTTTCATTGAATATTGGTCTCATTGTCAAAATAGCTGAGAGACAAAGGCGAAAGCGTTTAATAAACATATTGAAGTTCGATGGCCATTGAATAGTTGGGATATCTGTCCTGTTTGTCCAATCATATACCGTGACCATACAAATTGTTCTCACTCGTAATGTAGATAGCATTTAATCAACAACTGGGGATCAGTGCCTCATTGCATTCAAAGGGCACGAAGGATGATGAAGTTCCTGTATGTGCTGCTGCTGTCGGCCCTGTGTAGATCTGCAGCAGGCAGTATTGAGGGGATGAAGCGACTGTACAGCGACCTGTTTGGAAACTACAGCACTAAAATCAGACCAGTGTACAACCAGAGTCAACATGTTGACGTTCACAGCCAATTCAACTTGGTGGCCATAACAGAAGTAGACCAGGTCAGACAGATTCTCCAAAGCTTCGTGTGGATGAATTTAACATGGCAGGATGAGTTTCTCACCTGGAAATCTGAGGATTATAGCGGCATAAAGTCTATACACCCCCCACTGACTGACATGTGGAGGCCGAAACTCGTCGTACCAGTATCTGTTGAGGATCGGGATGTCTTCAAAGACGAGACATCCTCTATTACAGTTAACAGCGATGGTACAGTAACGTGGTTTCCTGGGGCAAACTTTGCAACTGACTGCAAGTTTATCTGACTTTATTTCCATTTGATGTTCAGACATGCCAGTTCCGATTTCTACCTGTCAGCTATAATTCAAATGAGCTGAAGATGGTTTCATCGCTGGTCAGCGCAAACACCCAATCGTCCACAGAAAACGGAGAATGGATTCTTACAGCTTCCAGAGCATACACTACTGAAAGAACTTTCGTAGATTCCACCTTCTCTTTCCTTTACGTTGACATTGATCTTGAAAGGCGACCGATGTTCTTTGTCCTCAATGTAATACTACCTGTGGTGGTGCTTTCATTTCTCAACATATTCGTCTTCTCACTTCCGTGTGATTGTGGCGAGAAGGTTTCGTATGCCATCACGTGCCTTCTCTCTCTGACTGTATTCATGAGCATCGTGAGTGGACTACTTCCTAAATCATCCGACAACATTCCAAAGGTCACCGTGTATCTAACGTGTCTCCTCGGTGTCAGCGTTCTGTCTGTGGTCGCCACCATCCTCATCATCATGAAAGATCCTGCGAAGGCCAGCAAGAAAATCCCACAGTCGACATTGTTTGTGATTCCCCGATTTTGCTCCATACCATTTCCAGGAAGTAGACGCAGGGTTATGGACCAGGTTCAGCTGGATTCTAAAACCGATGGTTCGGCTGGCAATGGGAATCCAACTGGAAAGGTTTCGGAAGACCTAAGTAGCTTTGGTGGGTACTGTGTAACTTCTGACTCTCTGTGTATGGTTATGTTCATGACTCTATGGATGGTTGTGTCTGTGGGATTCCTCGTCCAGATAGCAAAATAAAAGCATAATAAACGAAGCTGTTCATTGTTAAAATTCTAGCGATTTAAAAATATAACAGCAATGAAAAGTTACCATGCACACTTTGATCAGTGGATATTGAGATCATACGAAGATACAATGTCCATGAAATACGTCCTAATGCAGGGCAGGGGTCAAGCAACAATGTCACAACTTTTGGGTATGCCCACCGTGAGCAACATAAAGAGCAGTCGTACATCGACTAGGCATAGTGTCTATGAAATGGGCATGGAAGCCTGAGGAAGGGCTTACTATATTTTATGCGATCAACGAACGTTATCGTGCGGATTTGGTATGGTGTAAACATAGCTACATTTCATCCCTCAAATTGCTCTATAGTGATGAATCCGGAACATTTGCAGGCCAAGACAATACTTAAGTATTGTTGACGAAAAACAATAGTAACTATATCCGTGTCAGGACAGGCATAATCCGGTTGGAATGTCAAAAATAACAGTGAAAAACTAGAATTGCTACTGGTCAGAAAATCGGATCACTCTAGTCCACACCACGTCAACATCCGTCATTACGAGAAATGTTCAATGCGTAGAAACGACGCCCACCACAATAGAGGTTGGCGGTTATGATTTCAGCGCAATTTTCTCAATGACATTGCGTCAGGATAGGTCGTATGCTGTACGACGGGGTCGTAACCCGTAATGACGTAAGTGGTTCCTTAAGTGTTGCGGTTGATACCCCGAAGTCCTAAGATTGTCTGAGTAGTGGTCACTGTAGTGTTGAACCCTTGCCGGAGATGGACCACCTGTATTCATCTCTCTTCGAGTTGTGACTCGTGGACGTCCTACACGTAGGCGACCGGCAACGTCGTTATTGTATTGTAAACGTCTCCACAGTGACAGAGCCACTATGTGGTTCATTACCAGTGTAGCATTTAGAATGATCAAACATGAATCAATTCACCTTCTTTAAACGACATCAGTTTTAGACATTCATGAGCTCCACGCAATTTACGGAGATGCATACGCACAAGTGTGTTTTAGACTTGCCCATTCCCAAATGTAAATGTAAGATTCATTTCACTCATTACTGTATATATGTGAACACGTAGTTTCAATGTATTAAACTGGAATAAAGCAACTGTGAATTATTTGATGTCATGCTATTTTTAATGCAAAAAGATAATAAGATTATTTGCGTTATTTTTCGTATTCTTTGTTTAACTTTTGACAGGATAATATCGAAATATGTATGATTTGACACTAGGCATCTTTGAAGAGATGTGGTTTCAAAAGTAAATTCACAAATTCAGTATCGGGTGTGTCCATCATTGGCGTTGATGCAGGCTTGACACCTACGAGGCATAGACGACTTTAAGCGACTCAAGAAAGCTTTGGAAATGTTGTTCTATGTCTGAACCAACGCTTGTCACAATTCAGGTAACGTCAATAGTTGATTCTGAGCTTGACGTAAACGTCGCTCCATTTCGGGTCAGCCGAATGTGGCTGTCCTGCTGACGTGATATCCCGCGTGGACGGCCGTTCCGAGGCAAATCTCTCGTGTTCCCTTTATTTTGAAAATATCTCTATAGTGATGAGGTCATGTTTCGTTGGACACTAAACTGTTTGTCCACTTCATTTTGGGCCAGTCCAGTCTCCAGCACACCCACGGCGCGGAGACGCCGATTTCTGTAAGCCGCGGCATGACTTACGCGCAGTTTAGGTTGACATTAACGTGTTCTCCCCAACACTCAGAGGCAAGAGAATAATCAACGGCTATTCAATTTGTAATATCAGGTGTGGGATGTTCAGGAGTCAAAAAGAATGCAAAAAGTGAGTAATTTCATTGTGCAGAAAGTACGTGTCCCGTCTGATGCGTGACGTAAAATTTCATGCAAAGTGCCTTGCTGCGTGTATATTTAGGGTCATTTTCATAGTTTTAAATAGTTTTCAAATACCATTTATGCAATTTTATGTTATGCACTGTTACTTTTTCCCATCAGTATATATTCTATATGTAGTAATTCCAGATAGGCATCTTCTCACCATATCTGTGTAAATAACTAATACATCATGTTTTTACACATAGTACGAGATGCCAAAATAGAGAAACATGCATATGTATTGGAAGGTGATGACAAACCCTCTGGCACATTCTTTAACCCATACCAGGCTAAGGGTGCTTCAGCTCTTGTGGAAACTAGACCATCTCACTTTTGTATTGTTCGATAAAGTGAAAGGTGAATAGTAATAATAACAGTTACTGATTTCCTTTAGTTCAAGGAGTTACATAAATGTCAATCATCTCGACCTTATCTTCATATTAAGAGTAACGGAAAGATGTAACATATGTTATATTTGGGACTACACTTCCTTACTAACGTACAGATACGTGTGCTTTTGTTGGGGTGAGTCAACAAAAGTACTAGAATCTGTACTTTCATAAGAAAATGTAATCCCAATTACGAGGGGCGGTCCAAAAGTAGTCGGCCTCACCTGGAGGATGATACAAATGCAGTTGTTTTTATGTTGTATTTTTCTACATATTATCTGTCAACCTCAAGCAAATTGCGTTTGCCATGTTCCAGCCTCACGATCCCCATTTTGTTTGACACTTTATCTTGGTACCCCCCAAAAACGCAAAATCTGCAATAAATGCTTCACAAACTTCAGGAAACGAAATATGCAAGAACATTTTGTGTGTTTGAGACAGGCAAAAGTCCACAAGAATCAAAAGTGCATTAAAATGATGCAATTTAAAACTACAATCACTTGTTAAAGTGACTCCCCCCTTGATGTTTACTGAACAAGCTTGTGTTTGGACACACTACCCAACCCCTTTCAGAGGACGTAATCATAAGGACATAATTTATTCTAATGTTTTTACTTATTCATACATGATGCCAAGGTTTGTGTCAGCACTCAATATATTGTAAACAGTGCCAGCTTGAATTTCTGGACACAATTCTTTTGAAAGAATCAAATGGGGGGTGTCCTTTGAAAACAGCCCCGTCTAAACATAAATCAAACAATCCAAATGTTTGAATGTTGATTATGACGGGAAGTCATCCAGTACTATACTGAACATATTTTATATGATATCATCTGATTGCATACCATTATCCAAGAGGTACAAAATGACAGATCGTTTTTCACTTTCTGCAATTATTAAAGAAATATTATACCCAATGTGTTGTGATGACTAATATCTCGTTAACGACATTACCCACATATGTGGAATTTTGGATATGGCTTTGCTAATGATTCCTTCAAAATAAGCTTTTCTAAAATTGGACAATATAGTTAGGCCGACTACTTTTGGGACGCCCCTCGTATTACACACGTGTTCTGAATATCCTTATGAGATAAGTTTGGTTATTTGGAACCAGTGTTGTGTAACCAGTTGAAAGTTATTCAACGAATGTTGTGTAACCAAACTAGGTTGTTTAACAATAGTGACGTCATAATGCCGAACTATTTTTACAATCAGCTGATAGAGCGCAAGCAACCTTTCTGTTGCCATCACGATATTTCAAATTCACATTATCACTCCATTCAAGCAGTTTTTCACCACAAAATGACAACCAAACAAAACATTAGGTTTGTGGATAATTAAAATTCAATTTCTGTGTCCTGGGGATTACTATTATGTTTCAATTGAATATATTGAATAAGTTGTTTACGTCCATCTATAAAGTAGTCGGGACAAAGTTATCTCCCCTTTTGTTTACATCCGGCATGATTTGTCATCATGGATTATGGTCTCGATTTAAATGACTTTGTTACTATTGATGAAAAGGATAGGGGAAGAGTGGTATCAATAATTCAGCCTTTAGGGACCTACAGACTCTACCATGTGAAACTGGTTTCAGGCGAAATTAGGCAAGTACATCGATTTAGATGTATGAAAATAGCCGAGACTGCAAGTAAACCTATGTCTCCATCAATGTCAAAGAGATCAATTTCGTAGGTTGATCTACCCTCTGAAGTGCTCAGAGATTTGAAGAATGATGACATTTTCGATGAGCCATACACTTACAATGTCGTATGACTATTCAAACATTGATACTTATGTCATGGACAACAGAAACGTGAATACAGTTCAAAACTAAAGAAAATGCGACATGAAACGTCTAGGATCGTTCATGGCGAGCAAGAAGGATTTACGTCCTGTTGAAACCATCGCCAAACGTGAACTTTGTGACATTTTACGGTCTTTGGTCATTGGTGTAACTAAAGCTGATGGCACGAAATACGAACCCTCATCTTTGAAGTCGATGATTTCAAGCTTTGACAGACACCTGAAATCAAGGAACTACGGTGCATCGCTGTTCAGTGACGCTGCATTTTTAAGCTGGCTGATGTTATGAAAACAAAACAGGATGTTCTCAAGAGTGACAAAAAAGGTAACGTACCTATGCGTTCAGAAGCCCTGTCTGATGAAAATGTGGCCAGACTGGACAAACTGGACAACTTGGAATGAGCAATCCTGAAGCTATTTTGAATTCACTTTGGTGGTTCATTACTACCCTCTTCGGAATCTGTAGTGTGAAGCTGCACAATGACATGAAGTAAGGTGACGTCTCCTTGAAGACTGACTGGGATGGAACTTAATTTCTTGAATTTCAGGAAACACAGTCCAAAACTTGACAGGGTGATAGTAAAGATGGTGTTTGAAACGTAAGTCCCAAAGCTCGGGCTACTGGTGAACGTTGTCCGATTGCACTGTTTAATTCGTTTTGTAATCCCTGTATGTAACATATGATACATTTGACCACTTTCCAAATGGCATTGTGTAATCACAAAAGAAACATATTGACTTAGTTCATCTCTTGGATTTGATGCGTGTAACAATGCGACAGTCAGTGCCCCTGGAGAAGCAATAACTGATAACATTTAGACTTTCATTAGACACTTCAAATACTTTGGTTTGTATTTTGCTGCATGTAGTATACTCTAAAACTGGCATTTCCTGACATTTACTGATTTCAAGAAATAGCATCCAGTTATTTTAGGGCATATTTT